TTTAAGAGTCAGGGTTAGTTGCAAGAATCTAGCTGACTAGATCATGATAACTTCATTGAACAAAACGTGAACTGGTAAATAAAACTCAGAGTGCAGGCAGAGGTTCACGCTTTTGTGATATTTCAATTACTTGGGAAAAAGAAAGCTTGCCATTTAGTTCTGGCTAGGTTTTGCCAGCTGTGCAATAGAGGCTGAAAACAAGACACATTAAGGTTAGGGGGTGAGAAAGTAAAGGCAGTTCTGTTCTAAGATTCCTAATCTGTTTCCTCTTGCATTCAACACAATTCATCTCAGCATAAAAGAAACAGTCTTCAGGTATTTGGCAATAGGAAGCTTTAAACAACCTAAACAACCACAGTACTTAAGCAGTTCCACCTTATTTATCTTTTTTGGTTTGACAGTTTTCTGTGTTCCAGCATTTGTATGGCTGTTTTTCTAACTGCAAGATAATCCTAATTAGGTTAAACAGCAATGACTGATTTTCAGGGAGTCTACTTCAAAGCTTCTCTACCCTTGCCAAGTTCTTCAGATGCTTCCACACTGCCTGGCTTGATTCTGCATTTTCATTTTCAGCAACTTTTTGGTTCATCCTGTGTTCTGCTCAAAAACTAATGCTCAAGGACGAATCTTTTTGATCTGTACTGTTACTCAAACTTCACAATCATTAGGAAAAGAACAAGAAAAAAAACAATGTCCCAGTCGTCTCAAAACTGTAAAGCTACTGATTTCTGTGCTGACCAGCAAAAATAGTGAGCTGAACCAGATACCTTAGGACACCCTCAAGCCACAGATATTTTTTCAGTGATCTTTCGCTATTTTAAGTACCGTTTTTATATAATCCCTGTATTACTCATCTTACAGTGTGATGCTTTTCCTCATTATACAGACTGTTCCTTATCCAGGCTTAACTGCTGGTTCTTGTTTCCAGTGTATTTGTGTCCTGCCCATATCCTGTTATTCACTTGTATCTGAATACTTTCCTGCATTTTGCCAAGGAAAATATTGTCAGTTTTACTTCACGTGGTTCATTTCTCCAAAACACACCTGTAGTCCATTCCTTTAAGGAAGGCTTCTTCATCTTCCATCCCTATTCCCCCTTCTGATTACATCCATCTTTCTCACCTATACCTGAAATGGGGCTCCATGATAGCTTTATACAATCTGGGGCTTTTATGTTTCACGTGAAGATAGTAAGAATCCAATCAAAAAAAAAAAAAAAAATCCTTTCTATTTCTCTGAATAATAATATTCCCTTCCTGTTCTTTAAGGAATATTTGGATTTGACACAGAATTTATCGTGTACCAAAAATTTTGGCAGCAAGGTTTTTGAGACTGTTGGGTGCTTTTCTAGTTTTACTAATCTCAGCACAGTTTCATGTAGAAATCACTGTTTCTAAAAAGCTGCTACTCAGGCAGTCTTTTTCAGTTTATTTCAGTCCTCAGCATTCATATTTCACATAAAAATTTGGCTGCATATTTTAAAAATACCAGAAAGATTTCCCAAGATGTAGAGTAAATTGCATCTCACCCGTCAAGGGAAATAGGTCATTCATACAGACACAAAGAAAGCAACTGTAGCGACTCAAGCATGTGTTACACAACAGCAAGTTTTAAAGCTATTTCAACAACAGCAGGATGGATACATAAGCATCTTGCAGCTGTTTTGCAGACTGGTACATCATGAAGCTTCATCAGTGTTTTTCACATAGGCATATCTGAGATAAGTGACTATGTTTATGATACTGGGTTAGTTATTTTGACAAATCTCTTCCAAAAAGGAAGTATGTTAAGCTAGACTTGATCCTTTTTCAATGATGCACATAATGCACACTGGTTACATCTATGTTGTTGTATTTTTTGAACAAATGTGTCTCAGTCTCTGTTTATTTCTTCGGGTTTTTACCTTGAGAATGAGTATTTTCAGGCAGGATGGTTTATAAATTTGGTATGATTTCTGACATTGATTGCAATTACTCAAGCAAAACAGCACTGTAAAAAACACCTCTAAAAATCCGAGTTCAAGAAAATATTTCATAATATTCCTGTCACTCTGTAAAGAATGCTTTACAAAGGCTTCAGAACATCTGCAATGAAGGTGATTCCATAAATAATGCTTGCACAGTGGTTTCTAAGGTATCTTGTGTCTCTTTTGTGACGTAACTTGTTGTTATGGAGATGGTAAAATACCAACCATATTTTTGTGAGAGCGTGGAAGATCAATTTTGGATCTGTTACAGCAGCTTCTTTTCCCTGCTCAGCTGTAATCAGCCATCCTTAGGAAACCACAGGATGTATAAGTAGTATATTTTAAAATAGACAGATGTTTGCACAACACTTAAAATTGTTTTGTACATGGAAACAAATTTACACACTTGTAACAGATGCAAATTCCACCCAAAATTCCTCCAAATTCAAATATATCTAAAGGTATTTGCATCTCCAATGCAAATGAGTTATTTCGGTTTAAGAGCTTACAAAGAAACAACTCACTCCCTCTTCACTCCATTTCTGACTTCATAATCTTATAAAAATGCATTATTTCTTACAGCAAGAAGGGCAAAAATTAATATTTTAAAACCTTAAAACCTTCAGTTAAACATCCAATTGACCTTAAATTTACAGAGAATACATTATCTGGAACCATTGCAGATTGTTCTTCTGTATTTTTAACCTATGCCAGCCCATGAGTCCAAGTGTGCACATCCCCAGCCAATGAAAGAATTCTGTGAACTTCAGATTTTGCCACTCAGAAACAGAGTTCTTGAACCATCTCCCATAGTTAAACAGCTATAACTATTGTTGCCTGTTCGGTTTTTTGTTTGTTTTAGACATAAACCTTGGGAAAGCAAATGAGTTTTATGTTTTCATTATTATTATCTATCATTAGTTGCATTTTAAATCTTTAAGTATTTGCTCACATTTTATTATATGTTACAGCTTGTATTACAGCTGGAAAGAATGATGAAAATGGGGATGGTGAAAATGGGAAAAGAAACAAACAAGGAAAGAATGCTCACCTACATCCAAAGATCTAGATTCACAGGAAAGACTCCACAGAGAGGGATCTCCAGAAAGAGATCCTTCCCCAGTGGCAGTCAGCCCTTAAATTGGGTCTAGCAGGGAGGGAGCGAGGCTTCACCCCTTCCAGTAACACAGCTGAATTGCTTTTACCTGTGCTCCCAAGGTTGACTCAGTTCTTTCCTCAGGTGACCAACCAGTGGCTCAGACCATGACCCAACACTAGCTGAGTCCCATACTAGTTCCCATACATTAGAATATGCATCAACTGCTCTTTTCACTCTGACATCTCCTTCCCTTTATTGACATATATACCTACTTCCATAGTATTTTAAAAAGTGAGTAGTAGCATGGATTACAATAGACAGACTATAAATGAACCCTTTTGTTCTTTCCTGTAAACACTTCAGTATTTACCTTCATACTGTATCTGATCTCATGTTATCAACATGTTTGAGATTATTTTGGGCTATGCAATGCTATAGCTTATTAGTGCTTCCAAAACACCTTTTTACAATTTTTTTGGCCCAACTACTTGACAAGACAGCCTGTAATTAAGGTTACGGGACACACAGCTGAGTCAAGGTTTTCACAGTCTTAAATCAAGATAGTAATGTGGGAACTCCTCCTTCTTCCACCCTGTATTGAAGTGCTCAGACAAGTGCACACACACAAAAAAACACTTCTTTGCAGCACAGTCTACAGAACATTCTGACTGTCTGACATAACATCCTAACAGAGAAGGAGAAGTAAATTTTTGAAAGTACATTAAGATCCTCAAAAGACAGACAAGCCTATTTCAATAGAGTGGACATGAAGTCCTTGTTAAATTTACCTATGCTATAAATATTGGTGCTGTTTGGGCCAGTAATAGATCAGGATGAGCATTATGAGTTGTGTCTCTTGCTAGCACACAGAAATAGGGCATTAACTATCATTTTTTTAAAGGACCTTACCTACATTTAGTGAATCCATCTTCATAATAGAGCAAATGGATCAACAAAACAGATCAACTACCCAACTGCAGAAAAACTGCATACATTTCCTCAGACCAGAAATCTGTGTAGAACGTAGCAGAAATCACAAACATGCACAGAATCGTATTCACACTGTGTAAGAACATGCAGGGCCAGATTAACTTCAAAAACTTTAGTCCAAGAGAGGATTGGTCCCCATACATGTGAAATCTCAGGAGACTGCAGAATTGCAGATTTCAGTTTCCCCAGCCCAAGCTCTCAGCTGTAGATTCCTATCTACCTATATCTATAGCATATACTCAGCTATTTTATGAAGGGTTCCTTAAGTGTCCCATACTGGTACTTTTCACCTAAAAAGCATTTCTATAGAATTACATAGTGCTTAAATGTGTCTGATTGGGAAGTCATAAAATCTTCAAGACAACTGCATATTCAGTGGATATTAAGATGTTATAATCACAAAAAAAGAACAAGAGAGTTAAGCAAAGTAGACTAAGATAACAAGAGAGAACAAATGGAAGGCTTACTCATATGCTAGGCTCACCTACAAAAAAACACCATTAGAGACGATCTCCAGATAGGATCCTTCCCCTCTCGTAGCCAGATCTTAAATAGGTCTAGGAGGAGCCAAGCTCCACCCCTTCCGGCAGCACAGGTGAATTGCCTTCACCTGTGCTCCTCTGGCTGACTCATGGCTCACCTCAGGTGATCAATCAGAGGTTCAGGCCGTGACTCAGCAGTTCCCATACAACAACCCTTAATTACTTGGAGATCATCTGTATTTTTATGGAAACATTACAGAGATAAAAATAGTAAATATTAATACTGATCAAAGAATCCAGCTTGTATATTTTAGTAGTAGTACATTCACTGACAGAGGCCATAGATGTGGAGAAAAGTAGAAATATGGTCCTTAGATGAAAAGATATTTCTTGATTAAAGTGCCAACAGATCACGCATTACAGTGAAGGGAGACATTATAGGATTCAAAAAATATTTGCCTACCTCAGGAGCCATCCAAAAGGGTGTTCCCACTGAGGTGTTTCTACGTAGCCGTGTGCTGGTGAGCTGGGCTGAAACACCTGCAACAAAACAGAAACAAATTTGGCTTCAAATTCATTAAATCAAGTCAATCAGTTTATTTGAAGTATGTAAGAAACAAACCTCTAAGACTGAGATCACAGCTACAGGCTAAAGTGCAGTGTTATTACTGAATTATTTGATTAATTTCATTTTTCCACAGCTCATCCTAGACAGACCACAGCTTGCTGTTTTCTTTCTAGATTGCTACGAGATTTTTTTATGAATTATCTCAGTCTGAAGCATTTTCATTCAAATTAAAAAATTTAATCAGCTCTTAATATCATAGATACCTCCTTCTGCTGTTTTTCATGAGTATATTCTGGAACATTTCAAATTCCCATCTGAATTTAAAACCTATTTTCCAAAAATGCTGTCCAAGCTTAGCTGAAATTTATTCCCTGAATGCTGCTGGCAGGAACCTTGCAGAAGTTCCTTCTCAACAAAACATTTATGCACTTATTTAAAACAAATCTTTTCCTTTGAAAAACATGGAAGCTTAAGTTCACATTGTAGCTTACACTTAGGAATTAAGCAAGTGCTTAAAACAAAGCCTGTGCTTCATTGGTTTTCTGACTGAGGCTAGGCTAGTGAAGCACAGCAGAAAAAAGGAAGGAAAGAATTAGAACAAAATGAAACAATATTAACAAATCAAAATGAAGTTTCAAATAATTTTCTGTGCTCTTGTCAACTGTGCTCCTGTAGAACTCAGGAGCATTCAAATAAGCTGAATAAATGCAATATTGACAAAAATATTTCATGCTATCATTGTTGGGAAAAAGAAAACAAAAGAAAACATGATCTACTCCCACAGTACCACCCACAAAGAAAAACAGCTAGAAACACACTACAGCATAATAGATTTGTGCCCGATTTCAGTGAGTAAGAAATTCAGACTCAGAATCAGTCATTTGTCAATTAAGCAATTAGATTGCTGTACCAAAGATTCAATTCTGTATTCATTTTTTCATTTCAGTGTGATCGCAAATCTTGATTTGGTGGGTAACACTGCAAAACAGCCAATGACTGGAGTCTATAAGCCTCTGTGCATTTAACTGTTTTCTCTTAAGCTGGCCTAACTTGTAGCTACCATCTATGGACATTCCAAAACAGCATGGAACATCAAAAAGCTGAGACAGGGAGAAAGGGGGAAAGAGGGAAGATGGTAAAAAAGAGTGAAAGAACATGAGTGATGAGTTCAAGCATGTCATGCTGTTGATTGAATTTGAAAGAAAAAAGAACAAGTTGAAAAGTCACGCAATAAAAGCAAACAAATAACTCTGTGCAATCCTCTCAGTGTGCTAATATCCATACATACTGCCTTGAGTATGAATTCACTTTCTCTTCCCCCTATATAATGGATAGAACTTGCTAACTAGGTAATCTCTGAGTATTTCCTTTTATCTCCATTGATTTGAATTCTAGACACTCATTTAGTATGCACAATTCAATACTTAATCTAGGATTATTATTTCCTTTCCTATTTTCTTCACTCCTTATCACACAACAAATCTGCTTAACATTCCTTCAAAATGGGAGAGGATTATTAGTTCCAGGGATTAGCCTAAAAATATCAAATGCATCCACTGTTTTTGTGCTCTTAATCTGAGATCTTTCAGTTTTCAGGCACTCCATCTGACTAAAGTAGAGCTGTAACGTTCTCAGCTGCAGCTCAAACTCAGCTCTTCTACAAGGTAGTACAAAATGTTTCAGACTGGATACAAGGAAAATGAGGAACGCAGAATGGCCATTTCTACAAAGCTTGATGCAAGTGCCAACAAAGAGAAACCCTAGCAGAAGCAAGAACAGGCTCCAGTTTGATGTCCTTCAGCTGTCTGAATAGCAAAACTCTAAAATAGCAAAGCTCTTCCTGAACTCTGCATTTTTCACTAAACATCTTTCACCTCCTGCAACAAATGGGACAATTCTACGGACAACAGTTGCAGCTGCAACTCAGTCCTAATTTGATCCTAAGTCCTTTCTATGACTAAAGCAGTGGGCTAGTGAGAGAAAGAGCAATTCAATGAAACCTTAGTGCATAATACTTTGTCAGATAGAAAGCACATTTCGATATTTCCTAGTGGTTAAGTACTAGGAAACACGTGAGCGTTTGCTCATATCTTTTTCTGAGGTACATCTGTTATAATTTGCTACGATTATTGGTGAATCTTAAATGTTAAGAAATAAAAAAGCCCCAACAACATGGAAAGAGATGAGATGCCAGAAATCTTGGGATTCTCAGTTTTCCTGAACATGCCACTTAGATTTGTATACCACAGATATGCCTTTGGACTCAGGAGCTCCAAGCTGATCTTCAGCAGCAGCTAATGCCATTGACATGTATGATAAGAGTTGTCAGAGGAAGAAGCCAATATTTCCCAGAAGGGCGCAGTTGCAAACAATGACCACACTCACAGAGAAATTACTTGTCTCCCTCATACTAGCTCAGGGACTTGCTGCAAATTTTGCTTCAGGCCATGTTTCTCCCAGCACTACTTTAATTATTACCTCCACTGTTCAACATAATGAATTTCTGTCCCTAGAAGGTACTGAGAAGTTTTTTACTTTCTTGGTTCCAACTTATTTTATAATCTCCAACGCAATCATTTCTAACGTCAAATTTGTAATGCTGATGATGTCATGGTATTACATTTATTTTCCAGTATATGAATTTCATTTTTTTAATCATTACTATTTGCAGGATTTTTGGCATATCATTGTATGCTACTCTCAGTTTGTGAACATTTTTCTTTATCTTCATGCACTACTAGACATACATCTGTTATCCAAGCAATACTATTCTCAATGGTGATTACCTTATGCATTTTATGATTAACTAATGAATCACATATTACTAATAATTCGTTTCCATTGTATACATATCTGTCAGACTACATACAGCTCTGTGTTATTTTTCTGAGTGGATATGTATAAGAAGAAAAATGCTGAACTGAATTGAATTTTATTGACAAGGCCCTTTCTCTTTTCCTCTCCCTACCCATCTATTTCTTACAATATTTCCAGACTGGCCATGTTTGTATACAACAGCAATAATAACATATTAAATGGATATTGGGTTTTGGACACATGGGACCATTTTACCTTCTGCTCAGAGGGAGCAAAATGCTAGAGGCTAGCAAATGTCATTTCAAAGAGAAGGATGTTTTCTTTTCATATGCAAAAGACACAGAATTTAAATTTAAATTAGGACAATTACTGTGAAACTGACATTTTTTGCAAAATGCAAAAAAAAGATTTGTAAATGCCACTTTCAAAAATACTTTGAACAATAAATTATTATGATTGCTCTTTTAAGTTAAAAATGTATTACTGATTTTTTGGATACCATTTTCATTCTTGGTGTATCAAGTTACTTCCCCATTTTTCCTCCCTAAAATAATCTTGATAATTGTCCCGAAAATCTCTCACTATAGCATTCTGCCTTCCCAGTGGAAAGTAAACGGATGCCTTTGGCTAGACTGTGTGTATTAGAAAAACAAATGGGAAGTGGTCATTACCAAAGTCAACGAGCTTGACTCCACCTTCTGTTGTCAGAAGAATGTTGTTCCCTTTGACATCTCGATGAATGATCCGGTTATTGTGTAAATGCTGAAGGCCCTATATGCCAGCAGTAACAAAAATAAGTTTACTCCCTTATTTAAAAACAATTACCACCCTACTATTAGGGAATGTAATGAAGACAATCTGCACATAGTCTATAGAAACATCTGTCCACCAGATTACATGCTTGATACAACTCCTGCTGCAGTAATAGCCCAGAAAATATTGTCAACATTATCATTCTTTATAAATGGAAAATATATGCATGAGATGAACAAACTGCACCCTCTGCTGTCATTACAAGCCCAGTGAACAACCTTACCAAGAGAGCACCGTATAAGATGTATGAGATCATAGCTTCATCCAATTGTTGGCCACAATTCAGCAAACCTTTGACAAGTTCTGTGACAGACCCTCCATTGCACAGCTGTGAAGTGGGAAGACACAAAGGGGGGAAAAAGCAAGACATGCCCTCAGTTACTCAACACGCTTTTTTAGGCTGTGAATAACTACTGCATAAAACTGTATGACAACACAAGTTCAGGGAACAACCAGATTTTTACTTTTCTATTATCCATAAATTTATCCATGTAAGGAAAATGTGATTTTTTTAAACGTCAAAAGTCTTTAAAGTCTGGAAAATGTGCACCAAAAGCAACTGACAAGAGCATACTTAGTCTGTAAGGTCTATATAGACCTAGCTCTTCCAAATTCTACATTCAATTTTGTTATATAGAGTATTTCACAATTTTACCATATAAAATTTTGTTATATGCAATACCACACATAACCTGTCTGATGTGCTACATTTGAAAAAAAAAAAAAAAAAAACACATGGAAATCCAAGCTCAAATTCAAATTCAATACAAAGCCAGTAGGCATACAGTAAAAAGCAACAGCAAAACAAAGATGCTAAATCTTTGCTTTATCAATAGTTAATGGAATTTAATATGAAATGTCAAAGAACATTCATTCAAGCTACCTAATTCTACCATAAACAGAAGTTAAACGCATTGTTGAGATTCTATGACTTAAAGGGGAAGTAAAGATTTTCCATTCTGATTCAAGTCATCATTCAAGAATAGGGAATAAAAATTCTCAAATGAACTGTAATTAAAAAACAAATGCTAACCTTCTCAGCCTACTTATAACACAGCAAAATGAATGTCATTATACTGAACATCAGCCTGTGTAAAGCTCTGCATTTATTAAGCCTGGAAATTGTTTAGAAATCCTCACTCATCTTGCAAAAAATCTTTTGCAATCAGTTAGCTGGCAACAAGACTACCATGTGTCATTTTACATTTTTCACTGCAAGAATACCAATTGCCACTGAAGAATAGTAGGCATTTCTGTTGCTACTTTCTAGAACAACAAACTTTTAGTTTTATATTACATTTTCTCTGTTCATTTCGCAACAGGCAACATGTTTCTTAATTTTTTACCACGTTACTTCTACATTATGTTTTACATTTCCCTTGAGTGCTTGACCTCTCAAAAAATTTGAACGTTATTTTCTCCAACAAGAAAAATCAAGCCATTTTTAAGCAAAACATTTTTACCAACAAGATACAGTGGTTTTTGAGGCAAAATGTGGCAACTTGAATAGAAATAAAATGTAAGGACTTTCCCTTTTTAACAAATTTTTGTGAGATTTTCAACAGTACATGACATATCATCTATCACCAGTCTTTTGATAAATGGCCCCTATCAGAAAATCATGAAAGCTGGTGACTCTCCTAGCAATAGAAAACAGAGACCCACCACATTCACTAGTTAAGATGTAATATTATCAAGATGTTTTTTACCTCAAGTACTAGCCAGAGCTGTCCTCCCACATATTGATCTGCTTTGTAGAACATCCCATAAAATCTAACAACATTAGGATGATTGGGAAGAAACTGCAAAATATTATATTCTGCTTCAATTTCTTCATCTACATCCTAAATACAAACATACAGAACATATAAACACAGTAAGCCTGTGTAAAACAAGAATAAACGCCTATGGATAAAAAAAAGCTATTTTTAAGCAGTTTGTACTTTTAAATGGTTTTTTAAACCAATGTTTTTTTTTTAAATGGTTTTCTTCCAGTGCTGCTGAAAGTATTCTTCACTATTTTTTCTTTTCCTGTTTGTGGTCCGAACAGGACAACAGATGGGGTCAAATAATTTCACTAAACCTCCAAGTGGAATGTTGTAAAAATAAAAACATTAAGACAGACTATACTAGAAACTATTGAAAAGAGAAATATCAACATTCATTAAATAAGCAAATGTTACTAAGCATTTGTTAATATAACAGTTCTGTGACAATTAAAAAAAATTTGAATATCAGCTCATAAGCCAAAATTCAGAAAAATATCTAAGCAGTAAATTTCCTTGCTTCTGCAGAGACTGTAACTACTAAAAATATTAAACATTCACGTAGAGGGTTGTTCTGGCTTGTTTGTTTTTATCTATCTTGAGGCTATTGTCTGATTTACTACTTTTCCCAGAATTGCACAAGAGAAAAAGCAAGACAGGCTTCAGAAGTTGTAGATGATAGAAATGCAACCTTTCATAGTAAATATACTCGCTCAACTGTTACAATCAAACTCCAGCTTGATCCAACCTGTACAGTGGTCAGCTAACTCTTCCACTGAGAGCAAGGGCCTTGGCTCTCAAGGGAGGTCAGGGACTTAAATCCCACTAAAACTGGAGCTAGCAGAGAACCACTTCCAAGAATTTTGCCTGGACTTTAATTATTGCCTTTTCTTTAATTATTGCTTATCAGTGTTAGACACTTACAGAAGACAATTGTAAAATATAATGAAGTTCACAGTATTTCTGTAATGGAAAAAGCAATCCTTTTAGGGAACGTAGAATAAGAACATTTAAGATTAACAGTATCTTTTGTCTACCTTCCTAAAACAGACCCCTAAGAGGAATGCCTTTGTGCTTTCCTATCACATGCATGCTCAAAGCACAGGTGTCTGAATTTGTACCGGACAACTTATATACATATAAAAATGAAACTTAGTAAATGCTATTTTCAAACAGCATGCAAGATGATGAAATTTTCAGCAGCACCTTTCAGGTTTCCTTCCGCCAATGCACTGTGCAAAAAACATTTCCTCAGGATGCATTCAATATCTTATGTTTAACTTACATTTTAAATCTGTTTAAAAATTCTTTTAAATTAGCAATGAAGTTTAATACTTTCACTTACACTAATAGGATCGAGAATCTTTACTGCTGCCAGACTCCCATCTTTCTTATTGGCAACCTTATAGACTTTACCATAAGTGCCTTTTCCAATAGTCTCTATAATTTCCCAGGTGTCTGTGGGATCAGCTAATGATTCTAGTCCGATCATACTGGAATTGTATTGAAATAATCCATACAATGGCTTCCTGAAAAAAAAACAGACAGACATACAATGGGAAGCCTTAAGCAACTGAACTAAAGCAGCCGTGTTATGATAAAGAAATCAGAAGTTGAGAAGAAACGCAGATGGAATGACAAATGAAAATCATGCAGAGAGATAAGATCAGTAGATAAAGGAAAGCAAAGAAAACACGTTAGACCATTTCTCTTTACTTACTTTGCTGCGTGTATTAACTCTCAGCTTTATACATTGCTGCATATGCTAAATAATTTTGAACCCATTTCTGAACTTTTGACAATATCTGATCTCTCTTTTTATTGCATGCACTTTTAATGGACATTTTATACAACCGGTTTAACACAGTTCATGAAATGAGACCTTATTTCCTGTGTGTTAAAAAGCTATGTCATTCATGTAATGTATTTTATCTAACTCCCTGGATAATGGCCAGGCAAACACTCAGTAGGTAAAACACTTCATCATATCTGATACATCTTCAATAGGGCTATATATAACCAGTTCAGTAGTTTAGACCGGCCTGGCAGGTATCATAAAATACAAAACAATTTGATAGTAGACAACGAGAGCTGTCAACTACAATGTCACGAGAGTAACAATTATCACTGAAGATGTTTCTCAGCAATTCCACTTGTCTCTGTCTCTGTTTCAGTCAGCATGGCTGTCAGTATGCAGACCACCTCAGCTACTTTTGCGCTTAACTGGCAAATTATGTTCTGAGATCCATGAACAAACTGAAGGAGAAAAATTATAAAGTAATCTTGAAATAAGCAATTGAAGACAACACCATGGTTGACTGCAAAAGCTCCCAGCTTTTGGAGGTTAATCAGCTAGCACCTCACTCCAAATGATCCCAAACAGACCTGACTTTCAAGGTTTGAGCCATTTCCTACTGTCTTTTTATCCTCTATAACATTCCCACTGGCACTGACAACTATCTGGCACCAAGAATTTAGTCAGAAAGAATGTGAACCTGACAAAAAGTCTAAGAAATTATAAAGAAATGAAACAATGTAATTAAAGACATAACTATGTTTTCTAATCATGCTAGAGAAGAAAATAAACTTCATTCAAATTCACATGCAGCCCATTACAGAAATTTACCACACAGAAAGCACAAAACATTCCATTTCTTGATGAGGGGAGGGAAAGGGAGGAGAAGAGATGAAAGGAGAGCAGAGGAGAAAAAGAAAAAGCTAGTCAATGTCATTAATCTGCTGAAGGTCAATAATAATCACAACAGTTTCTCACTGCTTGGATTCAATACAGCATGCTGCAAATAAAGAATAGTATTCCAAACACATACAGTCAGCACCTCAATGTTGAAGCAGGTCAAGAGAGAGAATTTGCTGAAATCAGTGAACAGACTGTACTGCGTGAACTGAAGACAGCATCCTCAGACATGTAGCTTCTGATAAGCCAACCTTAACAACAAGCTTTACTTGGGGTAGGAAGACAAATGCAAATGTGAGCGGGAACAGTTGTATCCCAAGTTTAAAAAAAAAATTAAGCAAAAGCGAAAGACATATTGAACATGTCACTTTAATACTTCAAGAGAAATATTACAGACTTTCATGTGTAAAGGCAGCTGGCATTTGCCATCACTATAACAACTAGCCTATCACACATAATTTTACAAAAAATTTTACATTATAAAAAAGCAAAAGAACAGTATGTACTAGTATCTTAAGCATTATAAATGTCTAATTTTTTTTTTTAAAGTATGCAACTTCTGCTTTTTCTTCAGTTTTTGCTTACTTACTCATTTACTGAGCTTTACAAAATAGTGGGCCTTAAAAGAAGGGCTGCCATATTTTTATTTATTTGTACAAGGAAAAGTTACACATGAAAGCAACCAATTCTATAAATTCTATTCTATATCCACAAGACCTTAACTCTAAAATGCAAAAGTTGAAATTTCTTTAGGAAGACTTCACTGTTTGCACATCAGATCTCATACCTGTTCTGCGCTTTTAAGTGATATACAAAGGGTGGCTTCTAGCTGTGAAAAACTCAAGCACTGTCCTCCCCAGAGGGAGCCTCAACCTATTTTAGACCTCCTGATTACAAGAATTTCACAATTTCTGCCACCAGATGGAGAAAACTTCTCAGTGGTTACATCTGTTCCAAGTGGGCAAGCAAAATAGCCCATAGCAGATGCTGAAAAATTACACTTTGGCAATTAACTCTACTGGCTGGGGAACAACTTACACAAAGCTATTTGTGACTGCACACTCTTAAGCTATTTGAGGAATGACTAGATGTTATCAACAACCCCCTTGCACTCTACCAAGCCTTAGTTTACATACTAAAGAATGCAAAGCAAATGGACAACTAGACAGGAGTCTTGACAAGATACTCTCAGGCAGAAATGGGAGCAAATAGAAAGATTTCCTTTTTTTTAAAAAAAAAAAAAAAAAGAAAAGAAAAAAAAAAGAGATAAACTACTTTTTAAAGTTGTAAACCAGTGTTGACTAACCCTGAGAAACAAGAGGAGAAAACAAAATCTTAACAGGCTTCAGCAACTGACAGTGTTTTTTTCAATTGTCCATGAAGTGAGACATTCCCCATTGAGAAAATAAATTTCAATAGGTTTTTTTTTTTTTTTTTTTTTTTTTTTTTTTTTTTTGCGGGTTTTTTGTGGTTTTTTTTAAACACCAGGACATTCTGGAAACCTTTAGAAGTCACAACAAATCCAGTGAGACCATGTGCAACAGACTGTTTTAAGATGGCAGATACATAAACAAGTTTGATCTAAATTTAAAGAAAAAATAAGATTGCCATTAGAATCATTAATTATATATTTTACCCTCTTAACAGGAAGACAAACAGACTGCAAGGTTTGTCTGATAAAAAAAGAGTGGATGTGACAGTAAGGGCCTTGATTCAGTGACAGGATTCAGAAAGACAGGTTGATGATTGGACGTTTTCTTGAAGGTCTTTTCCAACCTAGATGATTATATCATTCTATTAAAAGATAACAAAAGAAATACGGCTTACAGGCAGTCCACAAGTCATTTTTCCCTTTGTGAACCACAATCTTCTCTAATGGCTCTAAACAGACTTCAAAAATGCTTCATAGAAATGACATGGTATTCCAGAAGTTCTTTGATTCTCAATGCAAATTCACAGAGTTCAAACTATATTGTGAAAATAACAGAACAGACTGCACAGAAATGTTATGTAGAGATTTTACATGACGTAACAACCTCTAGAATAAAGTCAACTTTTTTTTCTGGCACATTTATTACTCTGCAGCTATCTTTCTCAGAAATGATAGGAACAAAAGGGACCCATAAGCGAGAGAAACAGTGCCAGAAATAGCTTTAGCATTGCAGTTCTCTTTTTGGTAGTGCCTTACTGAATTTTCATACAAGAGTTATTTGCCTTATTGACTTCAAACAGGCACCCTTTTTCTTGTTTACTGCAAAACAAGATAGCTATACCGGTTTTAAAATTAGTATGATCCTCAGTGCATCCTGCGCTTTGAACAACAGTGGTATACAGTACTGTATTGTTTGAATTTTAATGCAGCTTTTAGGGACATAAAAGCAATTTCAGTTAATAGTAGTGAGAAAAAAATAATGTATACATATCTAAAAAATACTGTTCCCATATGAACAGTTCTTGCATACAGCTAATTTTTCAGCAGTACTTGACCAGCTCTTCTTGCCTGTCTTGTGAACTAGCTGGCTGATGTTCTTCTGGCATCTACACAAATTTGAAAGAATGAGAATGTTGTATTCAAAATTATGGTGGAATAGTGGAATCTATTTATAGAGAGCTCTATTTTGCTTCTACACTAAACAAATGAACCATAGATAGAAGAATTCATAAGGCAAAACTGAGATTATCAGCTATGGCTTCACCCAGCCATGACAGCCCCTCTTCTGCTGGCTACTGATTGTCACATCAAGCCAGCTACCTAGGAAGAAATTGTTAGGGGAATTAACGAACCACTGAAAGCCATAAGAAAATCAATAGTCAGAACAGCTTCCTTTTCTAGTTTCCTCTTGCTGTTTCTTTCTGGCTAGTTTAAAACAAAGAGGACATCAATATCCTGAAATACAGCATACAAAAGAATCCATCAACGTACCATCCTATAAGTCGGTTGTAGAAGAGCAGCTGCAAAATGTGATGTACATAGTTCACTAGAGGACGAAGACCAGTGACAGAAGATGGAGAAGGGCAGAACTATATTCAAAAGCTGTTACTGATACTATATAACTTAGGGACAAGAAGAACCATACTTCAAGTGATCACATTGCTTCACTAGGCCAACTTCAGGGAAAAATAGGACAACAGGTAACACAACTGCCGTTATTTGAAGATGAAAAGCAGATCCCTGAAAACACTCCTGTTAAATTCAGTTCACAGAACAAGACCCTGTTGAATACAGAAACCATGAAACAGGCTCTGTGAGTACTGAAAACAGAGGTACAGAGAAAGTAGCCAGGAAACATATTCTCCCTTTCAACATACTCAATCTTAAACTTTTTAAACCTCTTACTAATTGTACTTGCATACATTTCCTGTCTCTACAAACAGCCTTCTAAATTCAGGAACACCTTTGTTACTTTCTAATCTTCTGCATTCGTTTTATGGATGAATGGAGTAACTCAAAGTTATGATCTGTTGCATTATGAAAATTTTAAGTAAATTCTTACTGCACCATCACGTTAATGGCTAAAGCATTTAATCTTTACGCAATAATGCTTTATCATTTTTGAATTGTTATATCATATAAATCAAATAGACAAGACAACTATCCTGGGGAGTACAAACACATCCCGAGGAATTAGCCATTCTCATAAGTGAGCAATCAAAGGTGCACGGAGAAAGTGATAAAGTATAGCCTGGCCCATGACCAGTTATGCTGCAAACACAATTTTATTCCTACTTTTCTTGGAGGCCTGTGTCAGATCAGAAGGCACTGCTGACTGTGCTTTTGGTTCACAAGGAACTCATTT